TCCCAGATGCTCTGTTCTGCATTGTGGGCCTGGGCCATGTCGGTGACGGTGGCCGACCGTGACGCACATTCCGGACCCGCGCACCTCCCTGGCTCCAGGCCGATGTTGCCTGATGCGCAGAAGCAAACTGGCTGCTCTCCCACGTCCCTGTGTGAGGCACGCAAGCGTAGATCTCAGCTCACGCGAATTACGGCACCAGGCAGGTGAGAGTTGCTCTCAGCTCAGTGTGAGTTGAGAGCCGGGGGGCTGGGATGTTCACACAGAGCAGCTCGGGGAGCAGACAGCTTGCCCGGCGCCTGGCCCACCCTGGGAGGAGGCAAAGGGCTAGGAGGGCCGCCTCACGACGCGTTTTTTAAAAAAAATGATTTATTATTTTTTGAATTTATTGCCAAGTTGGCTAACATACAGGGTGTCCAGTGTGCCCTCGTCAAAACGCGCTTTTATAGTTCTGCTTCATCCAGTCCACCCGCGGGAGAGACCAACAAAAAACCAAAACACAAGAAGAAGAAAAGTACATCCCTTGTTTTCAACCTTCCCTGTGCCTCTGTCCTCCCTGCCCTGGTTTCCAGCAGTTTGGCCACGGAGCTGGGCTCTGGGCTAAGGAAGTTCAAGTCAGGAGGGGAGTGTGTCACTTAGGGCAGGACACTGAACGTGGCAGTGGTAACAGCGAGGGCCCGACCCCTCCGCTAGTCCCTTAGCACCTCACGAAGAGGGGGAAAGGAGGGTCAGCCCCACGGTCCGCGGCCGCATCTGCCTGGTCTCCCAGCCTGCTCCCCGGACAGGCCGTCCAGGGCATCGGCCACCGTTCCTGCTCTGGGGAAAAGCAGAGAGGGACAGAACGAGCGCACCACGCGGTCTCTGCACGGCAGGGCCACACTCGGGCGCCGCTTTCAGTCTAGCAAGCGGAAGCTGTGAAGCAGAGAATCGTCTCGAGGCCATCTCAGTTTAGCATTTTCACACGGGACTGAAGCCAGGCGCAGCTTCGCCGTTGAAAAGTCGGGGCTCTCCTGCCCTCTGAGAGTAATTCCGTTGTAATTTTTCACTTTGCACAAGAAAATGGATCATTTGTTTTCCCTTCGCGTTCGCACGGTTATTTTCTCTGGGAAGACTGTTTTGCAAACGGCGAGTTAAAACGATGGTCAACGCAAGCCAGCGCACAAGGAGGGGGGAATGAGGCGGCAGGGGCCTGAGCTCAGCTTTCCTCCTGCTCGCATTCCTCCCGTGCTCCTAAACCAGGCATGACGCTTCTCTTCCTGAATAGTCAGCGGCCAGTTTTTAGTTGCAACTGAACTTCTCTGCGACACCTGACGCCGGCCTGACTGTTGCTGGCCAGTGCCATGTGCCAAGTACATCCCAACTGACCGACGTTAAACTAAGGGAAAGCAACACTGGAAGGCCGGCCTGCCGGGTCCAGCCACACCCTGCGAGCAAGCAGCCGTGGTTCCTGGATTATCCAGCCCCTGCTTGGTGTACCTGGGGTGGGCCGGGAACCAGCCACATCCTCGGTTCCGGGCTGGCACGTGACCCCAACAGGAACGTCGTCACTGTCGTTTAGCTTTATGGGAAGATTCCAGACCCTTCCTGGTAGTCGGTCCGCTTCTCTCTCAGTCTTGGGATTTTCTGGGAGTCCAGAGGGCTCTCTGGGACAGGGAGCTCCTGATCTGCTCCCTTGCGGTCCCAGCACCTGGCTTCACTGGTCCCCGAACGTGTGCACCTGACGGGGACCCAGAATCGAGGTGCGGGTCCTAGACGACCTGAGACGTCAGTCTGCTCTCCGCCCCCAAGGTATCTTTCTTTTAGGG